AATTCAACTCAACAGTGGCTATACCAGAAAATTCACAAACCAATGTATAAATCCACTAGGCTACATGTGGGACAATCTCGAACTTCATAACATGGAGCCTTAAGCACGAAGATTTTTTTCTGCTGACACTATTACTCTTGCAGTCACGCGTAACCGCCTTCATCGCCGTCGCTCTTTTCTTACAGTTAATACCGGTGAACGGGGACAAAATAACCCCATAGATTAAATTAAAAATTCAGTTTGAAATTTCCTGAAGTTTATCATGATCGACAGACAACTGAAGAAGGGTGAAACATTGTGTGGCAACAAAGTGGCGGATATTATTCCGTATGTAAATAATGTGGATGGATGAATGGATGGCCAGTCGTATCAGAGGATGCCTGTCTAATACGGCGGCTAGCTAATCCCTGTTGCAGACGCCTGCTCAGTCACAATTATATTTGTTCACCACCCACAGAGACTACATGTGTTTTATAATGTAACTATACTGAGCAGACCTTAGTTACAGTTTCTGTGAAAGAGAGCGTTATCTAGCGTGATTAACAGCCTGAACAAAGCCAGCACGCTAGAAATTTCGGACACAATGACTCGTGACGTCAGGCTCGCACAACCATCGACGTCTCCAAAGGGTTCCGTTTACCTTAGAAGGATTGGGTCAACCAGTGGTATGGTTTTCAGACAACCAGTGGTATGGTTTTCAGACACATTCCATAGGTACTGCACACTAAGATCGCCGCCTCTAGACCGATAACATCCAGTAAATAATGTAAATAATGATAAATTCTCATGCCAGATATTCAGACAGAAATAATAATTTATAATTGATATTTATTGTAAGATAAGGAACATTTTTTTCATGAATTAATGTTTTCCTTTTGCAGCGTATTTTTTTCGCTTAGTTTAGTCTTGGATTTGGATATTAAACGTTAACGCCCTTTATATTTGTCAAACGTTGTGTAGCGCATGAATAAAATATTTGAGTTAATTGGAAAATTCTACACTGATGCTTTCTTTAGGATTCTGCAGCTGAGAGTGGACGAAAGCCGTCATGTGTCATCGTAATGTTTCAAATGACTGAACATCGCCCTTGCTTCTCTAGTAAGGGGTTTAATGCAATATTCTCCTTAGATGTCTTTTCAATTTGCTTGTGATATTCATTTATAATTGATATGAGAAGATGGAACTTACTATGCTGCTTAATTGGTCTGCAAGACAAATTTGCTACGCTAAGCCTCTCCCGGAAAACAACCATAAGAACACCCACACACACACACACGCACACACATACATATATATATTCAAACTCATACACATATATATTTGTGTGCTGCAGAAATCATATCATTTTTTCCTCATAAACACACACACACACACACACACACACACACACACACACACACACACACACATATATATATATATATATATATATATATATATGTGTGTGTGTGTGTATGTATATATATATATATATATATATATATATATATATATATATATATATATATATATATATGAATGATGGTATACTGATGAGTGTATACGTAATTCTATATTACTGATGTAGATAAAGGCAGCCGACATGTAATCTTTCAAGGACACCAGCTGCAGAAGTCATTTGTTGGAGCCAACGCGACGCATATGAAATTATTTCAATACTCATAAACAATTTTCTTCGCAGCATTCTCGCGTTACACCGAAGAAATGCTAGAACTCATAATTCGACTAATTTTTTTTTTGGTTTTATTTTGTTTTGTTTTTTTTCGTAAATTATGCAATCAGCTTGAAACTCGTTAAATAAATGAATAAATAAAAGAATGAACGAAAAACGACAAGTATAGAATCACAAGGCGTGCGTAAAACGCAAAAAGAAAACAGTAGTAAATAGAAAGACAAAATTATAAGGAATTATATTCCGCATATGATGCTCAATTAGCTATCGCTGTAATTCGAACTCGGGACGATATATTTCCTAGCAGGTGCTCAAAGTGAAGTTAACAGTATCTTATCTTAGATATGGATAAGCAAAGAAAAGAGTGTTGAACAGAGGGAACGCGAGAAAGAAAGAAAGAAAAAAAGAAAGAAACAAAGAAAGGGAGAAAAAAAAAAGAAAAGTAAAGAGAGAGGAAGAAAGAAATAATGAAAGATAGAAAGAAAAGAAAGAAATATGTAAGAAAGAAAGAATAGGGAGAGAGACAAAACAGAAAGAAAAAAGAAGAAAGAATGAATGAAAGAAAGAAAGAAGGAAAGAAAGAAAGAAAGAGAAAGAAAGGAAGGGAAAGAAAGAAACTAAAAGAGAAAGAGAAAGGAAGAGAAAGTAAGTAAAAGAAACAGAAAGAAAGAAAGGAAGAAAGAAAAAGAAAGAAAGATGTATGGATATCGTAACAGAGGAACGATTTTAGGATTAAAATCATGTTAATATATTTGTAAAAAAACAGTTATTATTTTATTAATTTTATTCCTACCGTAAAAATGACGGCCATATTTAATTAACTTTACAAATGTTTGCATATATTTTATTCGTCAACTTACAATTTTATCTACACAATTAACTCTATTTTCCCATATGAGAAAGTATTCTTTTCACAATAATGTTCACCCAGTACATTGTACAAGGCATAAGATCCACTCGAGATAGAGGGTTAGAGAGTAAGAGATACGAGTCACAGTTTATGTGCGGAAGAGAGCGGTCGGCCATAGCGTCTGTAATTTAAATCATTGACAGTAAACTCACATCCAAATGCTAATATGAATCAAAAGAAATTAACACCATATATTATCCTTCTGAATTACCCTACCTGTTAATGATATAATCTGTTATTTTGGAATCACGAGACATTTACCTTTATTGGCGTTGTGCAGTGCCTCCTCTATATATCATTACTAGGACTACGACACCAGACTGAGTGAGGGATGAATGCCTAAAAATCACTTCGTAAAATACAAAGTGAATTAAACTCTTTTACTGGTGTTGTCAAAAATGACGCCAATTGTTAGAAATTTTAATAGTGAGATACAATGAAACAAAAGCCTTGAAACAATGTATTGAGTTTCAATAAAGCGGAGATAATGAATTCATAACTAAAATAGAAGCAAATGGACCGTTTAATTAATCTGTTCCCTTTATTATGTTTTAGATATGATTCATTGATTATTTATAGAATACACCAACCGAGTTCCAATCTTTTTCCTTTGATGTTTTTCATGTTTGAGGCCTTGCGTTGTCATAGAGGAAAACAACATTTTCCTATTGACGAGCGCATGGCGATTTTCAACCAACATTTATGGACAGTTTGCAGCTGCTGGATATATAAATGTGCATTTAGTTTTTTCTCTAGTCTACACGCACAACACTATCTTTCTTCTTTGGCGCTCTGATTTTGTGGTTGTTTTCATAGATTTATCTTTGTCTATCCTCTTCCTTTTGCGTTGAACATTGTTGTATGCAACCCACTTTTCATTAGCTATTATGATTTATTGAAGGAACAGTTTGTTAGGATGATACATTCGTCATTACAATGGGTTCCCCAAAATGGAAATTATTTATGACTCAACATAACAGAATTACTTACTTCTCTTTCTTATTTCTCTTCTTTTTTTTATTTTGCTTTTATAATCAGAAAGCTCTCCATTGGATAACTTTTCGACTGCCCAAGTAAATAACGCGAAATCAGTACTGAAAGAACCACTTTCAACGAGATTAGTTCTCTATGGCACCGCTAGAGAGAACGTCTTTCAAGGAAGATACATTAACCAATTTCGTCCGAAACTTTGATGATTATGCGAAGTAAAAATCGAAAATGATTATTCCACATGAAAGCTGTGTTTATTTAATACTATAATTCACATAATAAAAGAGACATACATAGTCTACAATTAAAAATGGTAATGATGAATGAGGTGTGGGATATGAGTTAAGGTAAGTGTGAAGAATATGAGGATAAGGAGGATATAACACTATTGATCCTTGAGGTGAAGATGTTAAGTGTGTAATTTTCAGGGAAAACCCACGTGGGAGTTTGATTTACATAGTAATAGTGAACGAAGGAAATGGGGTCGATTCGACTTTGTGAATGTAGTATGGCCTGTCCTAACTATAAATGTCTGAACTAGCGGCTAAAGAGGCTGCAGAGTTAGGAAAAAGTATTTCCCCCACTAAACGATTTTTCAAATTTATCAAAGTTAGAGAAGTTAAGAATGAGCAGTTCCAGCAGAGATATGTGGACAATATTCCATTTTTCCAGTATGTTTAACAATGGATTTCATTAATAATATTAACTTATTTCTTTCATTTCACCCCAGGCAAGGCGATAAAGCCACGAGAACGGACGCAAGAGATTACTGAGAGAAAAAGAGAATGAGAAGACATTTAATGAGGTGAAGGCCAACAAAAGAACAGAACTGAAGAAGACAGAAGACGGTGATTGGCGTTACCTTGAAACTTTTGAAGTTTGTAGGTAACAAGGAAGCAAAAACTCGGATGGGAGTTCTACAGGTGAGAAGTGCGAGAAAATAAAATATTAGAATAGAATATATGGTTGCATGTAGCTAATTCAACAGTAAAATTGTGAGACCTAGTTGAAAATCTAGTAGCATGCTTAGATTCCTGCAGTCACCAAAAGGCACCAAGGAGGAAAACTCATCAGACCAATTGCGATAAAATCTTTAACATGACGCCGAGTCCAACATTTAATTGGCTTTCTACTTTTCATTTTTGATTAGTAATAATTCATTTGACGACATTCTTTCAGCACTCTATATAATAACAGATTTTATATTGCAAATCCTGCCTCCTATCAGCATGGTTGATGCTCAACTTCACGAAAGCGCCTCACTGTGCCTACTTGGTCTCATATTCTCCACTGACCTACGGTGGAAAAACTACTTTGAATCAATTGCTGCATCTACCGCGAGGAGAGTTGGTTTTCTGTGTCGCACCTGAAGTTTTTCTCATCTGAGTCCACCCTTCACACCTACAAATCTACCATATATCCATGCATGGAATACTGTTGCCATATATGATCTGGTGACTCCGGTCTTCATCTCGAGGTTCTCAACAAAATCAAAAGAAGGATATGCAATGTGATCGGTCCTGATCTGGCATCTCGACTCCAGTGACTTTCTCACCTATGTAATGTGGCTTCCCCCTGTTTTTTCTACAAAAATTTTCATGGCATCTGCACTGACGAGCTATTTTCATTGGTGCACCGACTGCATGAATTTAAGCGTGCTACTCGGTTCCACCTTTTACTGCCGAAACAGTTAAATGTAACTGCATCTTCTACTCCAACAGCTGCCCCTCTCGCACTTCCCGACAGTGGAACTCCCTTCATCTTACTTGCTTCCCTGATAACTATAATCTTCAAAAATTTAAATGTAATGTCAATCGACATCTTCTGTAGCCTTGATTCCCGCTCTTATTTTTTTATCCCCCTCCGTTCTCCTTTTTATCCTTTCCTCAACCCACCCCCCTCATAGCCAATCGTTTCCCTTATTCACACTCTCTGTAGCCCCTTGCATACTAGTGGCATTCCCGCCTTGCTTGGCGTGAATTGCTTAAAAAATTTCAATGCTTTTAAATCATTAAGTAATTGATGTTGAAAAAGGTTTCGTTATATTGCGTATATGAACAATATATCGTGTTGGTTTCAACTTATAATATTTGCACTTAATAATTTGAAAAGGCTTAATTTTAACTGAATATTATTTGAATCAATGTCACACTATTTAAAACAACTGGAAGAAGATATGTAATGTATATCTTCATTTGAGTGTGGATTTGTACCCTTATTAATTTCAGCATAGCTTTTTTTTTTTCCAAAAGTAGCCCATCCAATGCTTATTCGGTGTTTTACCGCAATTCCTTAGTGATACTCGCAAGTAGGTTTGGTCGAAGAGACAAAACGAATTCTTTCTTAATTAAAGTAGCCAATGAGAAGTTGTGCTTGGCAGCATCTTTCAAGGGAGAAAACTAATTTGGAAGACATTTAAAAAGATCACAGTATTTGCAGAATTAATTTTAAAGGTTTTTCTTTGCGGAAAATTTCTTAAAATGTCAGTGCGTAAGATTTCGCTTTCGAAAACAATAATATTAAAATTCATAGAGTCAGGGAGGCCCTTATCTATCTATCTATCTATCTATCTATCTATCTATCTATCTATCTATCTATCTCCTCTATCTCTCTATATATATATATATATATATATATATATATATATATATATATATATATATATATAGTGCAGTATCTATCTATCTATCTATCTATCTATCTATCTATCTATCTATCTATATATATATATATATATATATATATATATATATATATATATTTATCAATTTATTTCTCCTTTCATATGCTTTGATATTTGATCAGAATAAATGAGTATGGCAAAAATTCATGAAGAGGAAAGGAAACCTGTGTTATGTTAATTAAAAAATAGAATCAGAATGGAAATCATTGTCAAGAACAAAAAGAAATTTATGTAGACTGAATTTCGAAGACTGAAGAGTCTTGTTGTCACTTGGTCTTCTATTAAAGCCACCAGATCCAATACGTGTGTAAATTCAGCCATATCATATAATCATAAACATTTTTAAAAAAGTTATTCCGAACCAGTGCTTCGCAAGTCATCGCATAATAGAATCGTTCGAATGATTGACCGTATAGGATTTTATGTGTTGAATCGTCGTCAGGCAACCTTGACAAAAATATAAGAAGAAAAATCTGGAAAAGCAATGAAGACATTGAAACTGTATAAGTGCGACAAAGAAGAGAAAGAGTTAAATTAAAAGATAAAGAGAAAACGTGGAAGAATAAGGTGTTAAAAAGTAGAGAGAAAGAGAAAGAGAGAGAAAGAGAGGGAGAGAATTATTAATATATACAAGAAGGAGAGAGAGAAGTAAACAATGGATGTGCATTAAACGCAAATCTGAAAACAAGTGTTAAAGAAACATTGAGAAAATGAGTGTTAGAAAAAAGGTTGTAGTGTTTAGAGAAAGAAACAAAACGGATGTCAGAAAAGGTAAACAAAGAAATAGAAAGTGAAAGTTTAATGAAAAGAAGAAAAAGAAATTGAAATGAAACATATTCAGAAAGTGAGAGCGACAAAGGGACAAGTGAAATCTAAGAGTGGGAGAGATATAGAGAGGCAAGGGGAAAATAAAATTCAATTAATAACAAGAGATATAAAAAATGATAATAATAATAATAATAATAATAATAATATAATAATAATAATAGAGAGAGAGAAAGAGAGGAAAACAAAAATAAAAGAAAATTAAGTTGAAGGGAAAAGTGCAAAGCGAAAGACGTGCATGAATCCAAAGAAAAACATTGTGAGAATGGAGAGTAAGAGTGAAGAGTAAGAGGAATTGGGAGAACACTAAAATGCACAAAATAAAGAAGGGAAAGTCAGCAGAGTTAAAGAAACCACGTAAATTGAATGGAAATAAATATTTTGAAAATAAACAAGTAGGAAAAAGGGTAGGAAAGAAAGAAATGTTAGAAAGAGAGAATAGTAACATATAGAGCGCAAGATCCATGAACGAAGGAAAGTTGGAGAGTAAAGAGTGAAGAGAAACATCATCACGGAGAGTAAGGACGAAGAAAAAAGCAGGTTTGGGAGAGAATTTCATCAATGAACAAAGAAATGATAAATTTTAAAAAATGTATTCTAAAATATTATTAGTTATTTTCTGAGCAACACGGAATTGGATTGTAAAATAAGTGAGGCAAGAATCTTACATTAAGCTTATATTCAGACTGGAAGGTATGATTTAAGAAAGCTCATATCATATATCTATATCTCTCTCTCTCTCTATATATATATATATATATATATATATATATATGTGTGTGTGTGTGTTTGTGTGTGTGTGAGTGTGCGTGTAAATAATATTATTTCTTAATCTACGTCATTTCTTTCTCAAGATATTCTGCATATTATCCTGTTTTGAACATTGTTTACATAAATTTATATATTAGCAATCATTAACCATATGTATGTATATATACATACATACATACACACACACACACACACACACACACATATATATATATATATGCATGCGAATATATATATAAATCTGTTTAATCAAATACTGAATTAAGGACATTGAAAAGAAATTCATACTCGAAAATAAACATTTATTCTGCATAATCCATGAGACTTTATTCATCACTTTAACGAATTATATATATATATATATATATATATATATATATATATATATATATATATATGAGAACACGATTCTGATTTAGTTATATAATCTGTGATAACACAAGCGATGTAGATATATAAGAACAGTTTTTTATACGAATATATATATATATATATATATATATATATATATATATATATATATATATATTTCCTAAATTTAAGTATTCACTTCTGCATGAAGACAGCTGACGAAGATAGATAGGGAAATATTCCTATGGATAAATTACACTCTCAATTTCTCTCACTCACCTTTTCTCTCTCTCTTTATTCATATATATATATATATATATATATATATATATATATATATATATATATATATATATATAGGTAAATACACTCGCCTCGGAAAGCCTTCGGTTTCTTGATTTGCTAATGATCGAACCAAATTCGAAGGAAAAAAAAATTAAAAAAAAGAAAGAGCTAGGAACCTGAACGTCTCTCGAAAGTAATCGTCCAGCATACAGGTCCAAAGCCCAAAGAAGAAAAAAAACCGATACGAGTAATCAACTAGCTAAAAAAGTGCTCAATACAAAAGTAGAGCAGACCTAGTCAAACCTATAGAGCCAGACAAACCTACTGTCCCTGACGATCCGCTTAGGTGAAACCTTGGTAGGTTTGTTTGTCTGGCTCTCTAGGTTTGACTATATATATATATATATATATATATATATATATATATATATATATATATATATATATATATATATATATATATATATATATATATATATATATATATATATATACTTTACTTTAGACGTTATTTTCGTGGATACCCGTATTTGAAATAGAACCGCTGTTTTTTTTATTAATCTAAATAGTGTGAATTTGGACTAAATATAGATAATATATGGATTAGAATCAGACAAAATGATAGGATAAGGAACAATTTTAAACGTTTATAAATTTAACCAGTATGTTTATGTCTATCAGCCTGTATACTCTTAAAAAAGAAAATAAGCCTTCCAGCAGTGTTCGAACCTATGTTCTCACTTCTCGGACAATCCGCTGTTTGTTCCGTCGTACTTTAGACCACTCTGTTAAAGGGACCGTCAGAGCCCAGCCAGATCCTATTTACGCTTTTTAAGTAATCCAGAAAGGAATAAAGCAAAACATAGTTGAAAATTATGGAAAATACATTACCCGAGGAAGAACCTCCCGTCACTGATCGTTTAGTATACAGTTTTTCCCCCAAAATGTGTTCACTTTTGATTCCCAATAACCTTTTTCAGATCCAACGCATGCTAATAACGACAGGTGTACGACGAAATTTTGAAACAAGCAAATTTGTCATAATTTCTTACTGAAATCACGAAAACATATAAAGTGCAAAGACAATATAAAAGATAGTTTCACAGAGATCCACCAACGAAACGTACCATTGGTCGCATTAGAGACAAGTTTGAAGCAAATGGAACTGTTCACGCTGTTAATAAGCAACATTCAAGGAGTCTACTGTTATCTAGAAGAAGATCAGTTGCTGGAAACCCCCTCCTCCTCCGAATCCATTGCTCATCGTTATCTTCTGTGTTTGGAAAGTGGTGTTCGACAGTTTGTATATTTATAAACATACACTTAATTTCATTTAATATTTAATTAAACAACTAATCTTCGTTGTAAGGGAAGAAACATCAGTATTTCTTAAATTTAACTGTTAAGTCAATAAACAGTTGTTCTTCTGTTTAAAAAGTAAGTAAATTTTTGGAGAATAGCCTCTATAATGAATATTGGCAAATTCGTGCAGCAAAAATTTTTATATACCAAAACTCGATTAGTACATGCATAATACTCGATTAGTTTGGTAAAACATTCTTTTGTTTAAGCATAGTAATTGCAAATTGATTTTTTATAGTTACCGATATACATTACCAGCATTAATCGAGGATTCCTGTGTATGCGCGTATATATATATATATATATATATATATATTGGAATGTCCCGTCGTTTGCGACGAATATGGATATAGTTCTTACAACTGATAGCATATATGGACATAATTTTATTATACAGGTGAGGGCTTGTGCAGAACTGACCACATTTTTGGAAGAACTGAATACATACATCTGGTCCCCTGTATGTCAGAAATTTCCAAAACGATCCTCCTCAGTACACTATTTGTATTATTCGGACTATTGTTGACATCTTTGTCGCCATATTTATTACAACGTTTCGGCCGTTGTAAAAAATATAGAAAAACTATGTCTAACTTCTCAACATAATTAATAGAGTTAAGACGCAATTATTTACATTGGTTTTCATTTGTCTTGGTTACATACAAGTTTCTATTGGTTTCCAAAGACTCTCTTTGATTAGATTCCTATATTCATTTGTTTTAATGATGAACCAAACGTTTTCAGTTCGAGCTGTATCTAAAGAGGCTGGTGGCCATTCAAATGTCTTAGGATCTTTGTAATCATTTTACAAAAGTGGGCAATAATTTTGTAGAAAATTTTAGAGCATTGTCTTGTATGAAATAGAATTTAGCTTAAGGCTTCTTGTTTCGGCTCCATAATAATCCAACCATGTCTTGTCTAATAATTCATACTAATTTTCTACCTTTATCATGACACCGTTATTAATTTTAGCGTAACCTATATTTTGAGTGCCAAACATTAATTTCAGGGTACCGCCTGTTTTCTAAGTCATGCTGGTGCTCTTGTTATTCATCTGGAGTTTCTTGACAAAATCCAAAGAAGGATCTATAATGTAATCGATCTTGACTTCGAATCTCGACTTCTGTCAATTTCTCACCGACGTGACATGCCTTCCTTCTATCTTATAAATATTTTCATAGCAACTGCTCTGATGAGCTTTTCCTCTGGTGCCCCGACTACATGAATTTAAGCGTGCTACTAGATTGGCATCTAGGTCCCACCTGATTACTGTTGAAATAGCTAAATGGAACCGCCACTTCCAATACAATAATTTCTTTTTTCGCACTTCCCGCTCGTGGAAATTCCTTTCGTTTACTTGCATCCCTGATATCTACAATCTTCAAAAATTTAAATGCAATGTCAATCGCCATCTTCTGGCATCCCGACCATCTTTAGTCTTTTTCTCAATCCTCTCTATAATCAAACTTTTCTCTTTTAACTTTAAACCCCTGCGTACTAATGCCATTTCCGCTTTGCTTTGGGTGAAATGATATAATATGATGATATAATATGAATATAAATTAAAAAATTCATGTCAATCACTATACTAATAAATATATTTATTTACGATATAATAATCAACACTCGTTTGCATGATAAAAACATAACACCAAATTAGTCATTGCAAATAATTACAATAGAAACAACTAAGTTTTTTTATTATATTTCACATGTAACTATAACTATATAGTTTTATCTAGATTGATTAGGGAATACACATATTATTGAAGAAAAATGAAATTGTCAATTAGCTTGGAAAATATTTTTTGACATTATATGCATATAAGTCTATCTCTTCCTCTCCATCCACTCCCTCACCCTCTCTCTTTATATATATATATTGATAAAAAAAAACTCGCCCACAAAAATGCCTGATAATTATGCACAAACACAATATTTATTCAGATATTTACAGTGAGTTGCCACGTCATATCCACACACACACACACACACACACATATATATATATATATATATATATATATATACGTGTGTGTATTTATGTATGTATATATCGAGAAAGAGACAAGCAGACAGAGAGAAAGAGAAATATATATTGTGTATATTTAAAAATCTCACGTAAAAATTCAGTTTGACCGTTGCAAATGACGTTACCTGTAAGTAACTTGAAATTGGTTCCGGCAAACACATTTTCAGAAACAGACTAAACACGCAATTTTGATGACGATTGCAGTCACAGTCGAAAGCACTCGCATTAAAAAGATGTAAGTGGGAAAATCTTAATAAAATATTGGACAGACAGACACACCATGTCAGTACTGTTCAAGGAAACTTGTTTAAAATAATCCTTGCTGCTTAAATACATCCTATATAAATGTATTTACACATTTCTTTAAATTTTTACTACGTTTTCCAAACTTCTTATAGTTTTCCATTATGGTCGGTAGTCGTAACTGACACAAATGACTATTATTTCAAGATTTTTTTGCTAATTCATTAGCCATATTCAAAGTGTTCGTTGTAAATATATTTTCCTGTGTTTGTCTTCCAAGTTGTATTGTGTGAAAGTAATAGAATTTCCAAGCTGTGCTAGAAAAGATGTTGCGATTCCATGTTGGGATGTCCTTCAAAAGACCGCCAAAACGTTCATACCGTTGTCACACAGGGTGAGGTTAAATCTTGGCTTAAATTGTTTTTTTTAATACGAGCCTTGAATATCTTAAAACAACTTTTACAATTAGATTTAATTAGAATGTTGGTTTTATCAACAGTAATTTCTCAAATGGG